CCCCCCACGGCCTCAGGCCCGGCCCTACCCCCACTTGCTCCCTCATTTCCTATTCTCTGCCCCTGTGGCACCCCAACACCTGCCGCCACTTGGCCCGGCCCGCACCTCCTCAAAGAGGCGCAGGCTGTACGTGTTGTCGTCGTCAGCGAAGTAGACCACGCCGGGGTCGCTGGGCTGGCTGTGCTCCCGCAGCCACTGCAAGGCGCGGTTGCGCTGCTCCACGCCGCGGGGCCGCAGCCAGGTGGGGTCACTCTCCTGGCGCTGCAGCTCGGGCGGCGTCTCCACGTGCAGGTGGGTGAAGCTCAGCCCGCTCTGCGCTAGCAGCGTCGACACCAGCGGCGTCCGGGCCGGCGCGTCCTCCACCACGATCCAGTGCAGGCCCTTCACGTGCAGCAGCGTCTGTGACAGCCGCACCAGCTCCGCCTTCTGCACCAGCCTGTCGGTGGCGGGGGGGGGGAACAGTTAGCACCAGGTTGGGGGGGAAAAAATCAGGTGCTGCACGCCAGCCTGGGGAGGGGGAATAACCCTAAGTGCTAGGTGCTGGGCTTGGGGGGCAGAGCGAGGAGACGCACCAGCCAGGGGAGGAACTGTCAGCTGGCCCGTAAGATGCGCGGGGTAAAGAGAAGCACGAACCCTTAGCAAAGAGAACTGGACTGGGGAGGGGAGGGAAGGAGGAAAGTTTAATAAGACCGGCGCCAGCCTGAAGGAGGAACCGGCATCACTGGGCCTGAGGAGGATTAGAGAGGATGCACGGCAGCCAAGAAGAACTATTAATTCTGGGCACTGACCTGGGACAAGGGCGGGGAGACGGGTACCTGGACGGAGGAGGCTTAGGGGGGCAGCCTGGAAAGGAGGGAAACACAAGAGAAGAGTGGCGCAGCCCCTGGGAAGAGAGGAACGCTTATGACAGGCGCTGGGGGAAGAACAAGGACGCGTGCATGGGGGGGCAAGACCTCACCTTAAGTAGTGTCAGCGGGGAGCTCCAGGAGAAAGGCACTCGCCGGAGGGGGGGATAACAG